TATAACCATGTACTCGCCACGAGCAAACAGTCCAGCGGTCTCCATGGAACTCATGAAGTCTACTAGACTGTTGGCCTGACCCAGGAAAACGTAGATCCTAGTCCGGTTCATCGTGTTCTGTACCAGCTGCAAGGAATACAAATAATTAAGTTTATACGCTATTTTCAAATTTAAAAATACTTGTAATAAATAAAATCTACTAAAATGTATACATGTAATATGTGTATAGATATTTTCAGGTTTCGATATATCAGAATAGAAAAAAATAATTTAAAAAGAATTATTCTCATATTCTTCGATAAATTAATTATTTCAACGTTGGATACAAAAATTTACCGATGTTTAAAAATTGGATACACCAAACTTTACGATATTTGCGATAAGATATTGGGCGCAGTAGTTGCGTCGATATATCATATCGGACTTTTGCTTATATACATCGCGATAGGGAATACCATCTTTCTTTCCTTTTTATTTTTTTCGCTTAATTAGTACTAAAATGAGTTTATAGTTTCATTTCATTTTTTTTTTGGCAACCGAAACTTACCTGATACCAATACCCAGATCGACAACAGTCCATAAACTTCTCGCAGCATTTTGCCCGATTGTCAATAAACGACTGCTTATGGTTGATGGTCATATTCCGCTCCATGGCCTGATCCTTCAGCAGATCCGCCACTGGAGCCCAGACGTCCTCATATAAAATAGAGAACTTGTTCCACGCATAATAGCGCAGAAGGGCAATCAGTGATTTAACGACCTGAAAAATATGAAATGTGATGTTTACCATATAAGATATATATTAGACAAACAACAAAGGATTATGTTGAATGCACGGAAACTGCTTAGACGAACATAAGTGCAAAAATAAGTACATATCTATACTTTGCGTATGAATTGGATTGAGTTTTAGTTTATGGCATCCAAATCAAAGTATCGCTTTATTAAATTTTTATTATTATAAATTTCTAAAAGCATTAAATATTTTTAATTACATGCCTGGGATATCGATTTAGCTTCAGCAAACAGAGTTTCTTGTTGGTGCCACCAAATTACATTCACATATATAAAAGACTTTAATGTAATTAAATTTACTTTGTTAAAGTAAACATTAAGGCTTTTATTATTATTTATCAAAACGTAATTAGAGCTTCTTTAGTATTGTTTAATTTAAATTACTTTGATATATATATTTTATATCTGAATATCACACTATCATTCTATAGTTAAACCCACACTATTTTGACCCCAACTGTTTTGTTTTAGCATCCTTATGGTTTCCTGTTGCCTGTTGTTCTCGGTTTGAGGTTAATCCAAGGCTAAATAGCTGCCCCTGCCGAGGGACAAAGACACCGCAAGGATGGTTAGGCAAAGCATTTTCTCCTCCCTAGCCCCCCCCCCACTCTCCACCACCCACCCATCTTGGCCACCTGTTGCGACCTGTTTACTCACCTGCGTGTCTGGCGGTTCGGTGCGGGCAAATGTCGGTATGGCGGATGCACGGTACTCTGCACATTTCTATCAAACAGAGAGAAAAAGGGAACGGTGGGGAAACCAGAAATTTACAATTTAGTTGTATGAAAAATGCGTTGTATGAGATGAGATCTGGTCTGTGACCATGACAGGATGGAATAGCTATGTATATCAGGTATAGCTCGAAATACGTACATAGGAAATCATTGGAATGTTGCGACTCTGTGAGACGATGGCCTCCACATAGCAAGGTCCTTCCGGTCCGAAAATGGTGGCGATGCCGTCGCATATCATCTCGGTGATAGCTTTGGTGGCCAGTACAGTGTCCCCCTTGGTGTCATTCCAGCGCAGGTCCAGCGTCACATTTGGCAGCAGATTAGGATCTTTGTTGACCTGTGACCGGAAGAGAGAGCAAATTGTTCCGCTACAAAAATGTCTTGAAAAGGGTTTAACTTTCACTGTTTTCCGCTTCAATTCAATAAAGAATTTTGATATGCGTACTAAGGAACCTATTGCTAAAACTAAAATAATCATGTATATAAGGTATTTTTTATTTTCACACATTAAAAGCTAAACATCTTAACTCATATTTGTCATTCTTTCGATATTAACTATTTATTAACCACTTGTCATGACTTAAATCTAAATTACCTCCATTTCTTACCTCATCCAGGGCCATTGTCAGGGCGCCGGATATGGCCAGCCCCTGGCGCGTTTTGAGGTCGCCAGTGAGAGCTGTCAGGTAGCCGACTGTGAGAACCGTCCGATGATTGCTACAGTCGCGTACCGCCACCGACAGCAAGAGAAGAAGATTAAAGGGCCAACGCGTCATGGCCCCTTAGGCCGGGGCCGTTCAGCGCGACGCCTATGGGTTCCAACCGAGTCTCACACTGCAAATAGGGGAAACAGAAGGATTAGACAAAGACCAGGACCGGGGCTAAGTGAGGATGCAATTGAAAATGACGACGAGGACGTCCTTTGCATAATAAAAATTCATGTTTGACAAAGGCAAATACAAATAGAAAACAGCATCCCGAACGCATTTCAGACACTTGGCTTGATTCAGATGAACGAACTGACAAAGAAGCACACCACTGGCCAGAACAGAGAGAAAAATAATGTTACAATATCAAATAACTATGTTACATATTTAAGGGTATTGCAGAAGGTATCACCATTGTATCACAATTTTACCTTGCAATAAGAACCGATTCGATTTAGCCATGTAGCCATGATAAGCACCTCCCATTCTCCTTACTAAATTAATTCATTTTCTTTTATTTATTTATTTTAAAATAAAATATATCTAATATAAAAACAATATAAGTTTTTTGTTCTCTGTTTCGCAATAAGCTGGAGCTGCTGAGAAATGGCAAGGATGTTGAAGCAAAAATGTCATTGAAGTGCTTCAGAAACAGGATGCCAAGCAAGTTCCATCGCAAGCAAATGTCAAATATTGCGATGGTCAACTCAAACATCGTTCACTTTCCTCGCAACTGAATCGTGCTCCGACATTTCTAATTAAGTGGGGACATAGAAAAATGTATACAAAATTTATACAAAAAATTAAATATTATATGTACATATATTGAGCGGAAGAGTGTTAGCCGTTTGAGGGGCTCTAACGGAATATTAAAAATATTAAACACCCATAGTATCCAAGTTCGCAATTTACTAATAAACTAAAAATGAATTTGAATTTGAACCTAATCGCAATTATTAAATAAAAATTGGTCATTCATATGCATCTCTCCCCTTAAAGTCCTTTCAGTTCCTTGGCATGTGGCCAATCTTTTTAAGTGGCTTACTGGAGAATCCTCCATCTATCCTCCCACAATCCCCCCGTAGTGTTGTGTACACTGCTGCTTGTTATTATTAATTATGCATGCGTTGATTTTGTCATTATGCAATTTTGTTTGAGGTATTAAATATATATCGCTGGCTACTTTGTCCTGGCATTTGTCTGCCATTATCCCGCCCACGTCAACATTCCCCTCCATCAACAGATTTTACCCATTGTCCTGATTGTTTGTGTTGGGGGCGAAAGCTTATTCCTGGGGATTGAATTACAGAACCGGGCGGTTGGATGGATGGATGGATGGATGATGACTTTGTCCATCCTTCTTTGACATCGCTTTAACTGACTCACGTGTAAATTTAATTAAAAGCATAAAAGAAATGCAGAAGCCATGAAAAAGTAAAGGGGAAAATCTGATTTAATGTTAAAGCGAGAGTAAATAAGTTTATCTAGGATAAATCTGAAATTATCAACATTCATGAATTCATTTTCTAGACGAGTTTATTTTAATTGTAGTTTAGTATTGCATAAACCAAGTGAACTTGTTAAATGTCAGCAAAGTGAATTTTAGCTTTAGTCAATTCAAAATCTTTATAGAAATTTTGAGAAATTGATAATCTGAATAAACTTTCGCGCAACAAAATCTCAATCAACAAAAATTGACAAAATGCTTATGCCACCATAAATTAGCATATCCGACACACTTCACCTATTTATTTCCTAAACTTATTTTTGTTTCTTTACCCAAGCTGCTTCCTCTTTTATTTTTCCAATGTTGCACTTTAAAATTAGAACTTCTTGGCCGGGCTGGCTTATTTTGGGCGCCACTGTTAAATATTTGCGCAGTTTTTTGACACAATGCGAAACGCGTTTCCAAGAACGCAAGACTAAAATAGTTTAAAAATCTTCGCTTCCCGGAATTCGGATTAGGGGCTAATAAACGAAATTAGTCATTCGTAGTTAAATCATTGATTTTACACTGGGAAATCGCATTCCAAAAGAGCATCTGACATAATAATTGGTTACCAGAATCATAAATTCATCATTTATAAAGCTTAAAATGTATATTTATATCATTTATAATTTAATTAATGCATACATTTTACATTTTCAATGCCATATAAACATATATTTCATACAATATGTTAATTTGTTTGTATAAAGTTGTAAAAGGTACCAAAATAAATACAAATTTTTAATAGGACCTTTTCTACTGTGGAATGTTTTCAAAATTTCCCAAGTACCTTAGCTAAAAATCCCGTTCTACAACGGTGCAAACGGGATGGAGTTATAATTATAATAAATTCTATTGCACTTAAATTTTACAGAACGCCTGTGTTATACACATTATTATCCTTATTTAAGAATTCCAACCCTTAAAGTCTGTAAGATCCCTACTTTCACACGGACATTTTCTTACCCTTATTTAAGAATTCCAACCCATATAGACACTCTAACATATATGTTGAAAGATATACTTTGTAGGGTCTACAAATGTTTAAGTAATCTATTTTGCATTTTAATTGGCCCTAAGTTATAATAAGAGCATATAATGTAAGTTGAGTGATTATATTGAAGTCATATCTCATTCGACACGCCTGGTAATGCTCAATAGACTGTTTCAAGAGTTTTATAACATAATTAAGATATTAAGACCTGCAAGGGTATACAAGTCAGATTCATTGTAAATTTTTGATAGAGAAAATGAATCAAACATTCGCTTTTCAATTTGTGTCCCAGACTTACTCTGATAAATGATCAGATTCCTTTCGGTCTCAAATCTAACATCATGTCCGTTTTTTGTCAGTTGTTGGTCTAAATTTTTTTGTTTTTCCGACTTGAAAATTTCTTCTTTACCCGTCTAACACTCCTCCGGCGAAAGACACTAAAAATTCAATGTTTGCTTGAAATCGGGAGGCCGTTCGTCCCGCGAGAGTGTACTGGAGAGGAGATTCAAATAGAACCCTGGCTCGATACCAAGATAGTGAGCCAGTCGCTGCCACCGGAGGCAGTCCCCGGATACCGATCTGCATTAACTCATTCGCTGTAAGGCCGAAGAGCCATCACAGACGTGAATTATGTGATAGCGGCAATTTGGGGACAGGGCCGGGCTTACCACTGGGCCGCAGGAGCAGCAAGATCGTCAAGAGCAAGATCGGCAGCCGGAGTCCGAATCAGAGGTTGCGACACCGAGGGACACAAGTTGCGAGCACCACCTGCCCATCTTCCAGGGCCATGGCCATCCACGAGCAGATCGACAACCTCAACATCTGGTGGTTCCCGCGCGATTTCTGTCAGTCGCGCTTTGGCGAGTTCCAGCAGAGTGGCACCAACTCCTGTACGCTGGTCTCCCTCATCCTCGCCGACAAGGTGGACAAGGCGGAGCGCTTCTACCACAGAGTCTCCGATCTGCCGATGCGGGGATGGGAGCTCTTTGGCAATGCGATGAACGATGGGAATAACGTGTACCACAATGTGATCACCGTGAACACGCCGCAGGCCAGGAACATCAACCTGAACATTCCCGACGCCATTGCGGCCATCCGGTCGCAGCACAAGATCAACTTCCGACTGGAGGAGTGGTTCTACACGCACATGGAGGCAGATCCCACCAATCCGATGTACAACAGGAACGTGGCCGTCCAGCTGTCGCGGCTATTCCAGGCGACGCTGCCGGTATTCCAGAAGGCAGGCTCACCCTCGCACCTGTTCGCAGCCATAATCGCGGACAGTCGGACGGTGATGGTAACCTTCGACTTCCGGGCCTCGATCGTCGCCCTCTTCGACTCGCACCAGCACGGACGGGATGCGGGGGCCGTGTTCGCCCAGTGCACGCTTCAGAACATGGATGACCTGCTCTTCTGGTTCGTCAGCATGCTGCACAACGTCTACTCCAGCCGGCCATCGCTCTTCGAGATCTCGTTCCTCAGTTCGCAGCCGGGGATGTCCAAGCGGTATCCTCCAGCCATTCGGAAGATTGCTGGGGAGATGAAGAAATCGGGCAAGATGAAAACTCCAAGGTCTTGAAACTAATCATCGGACAACAGTATCCTCCATCCAGTACACATTCCCAACGTTCGAGGGGACGGGGGAAGCAATTTCAAGGTCAATCAGGATCGAAATTTCAAGTTTATAATATCCCACTTTTGTGTCTTTGGGCCTTTGGACAATGAAATTCGAAATTTTCAATAGACCATCAACCAATAAATAACGAACTTAATTTTCGATTTTTTATAAACAGGCAGAAGGAGGTATCTCCGATAATGTAAATATATTTACCATTAGCATTAAGAAATATCCTTTTGTTCCCCTGGGACTTTCAGGACTAAAGCTATCACATTTTGTGACGACATTGCAGGCAGATCTAGTTGGTTTTTCTAAACTTTTACCAAAATGGGCTGTCATTCTTCTAAAGTATACTAATAGAATGCAATTTAAATTATTTCTTTGAAAGACTGATTATCTCTTTCTCACATGTAAACGTCTTAAGTCAGATTAATTTACCTTTAGGTTTCTGCAAGTCACTTTATCAACATAAAACACACTAACTGTTCATTCTGAACAAATTTTCTGAAATTCCAATACGCAATTTATACTCATTTAATGCGAAACTTTTGCACAGCTGTCTAAAGGTTTAAAGGGTTCGAATTGGCTTTCTAGTTTATGCAGAGTCAACTAATGACACTAAAAATTATTTAATTATGAATACGTATTTACCGCGAAGTCGTGTGTGCGTGTGTGTGTTGATGTGTCCATATTTGCTTATTTATTATTTCGGTTACCTAATTACACTTGAGTAAACAATTAATTTGAAAGACTAGAACATCTGCGTGGGGGGATTTGGCTTTGTTGTCGTTTTTGTTTATTTGCCTTTCGGCCGGGTTGCTCCGACTGACTTTTTTTCGAAATTTAGAGAGTAAAAGTTGAACTTTGTAACGGGAACTTAAAATACATACATATATAGGACGAGTTCACGGCGCGCGTGTTTCCGCTGTACTTTTTCTCGACTTCTAATCAAAATGAGTTAAATAAACACATAACGTAACCTATTAAGAACTTCGTACGTGACAACAATTTAAATATTTATAAAGTAAACAGAGAGCCAAAGAGAGAGGCTAAAAATAGAATCACATATCAAAGAAAATATATATGAAAACGAATCGAAAAGACGTGATAAAACGTTTAACGTTATACGTAAGTATGCCCCATACATATGTATGTATGTATGAGAGAAGAAGCCGGAGAGCGAAGAGGCCAGGCTGAGAAAGAGAGCAAATGGTCAGTGCGAACAGACAGAAAAACTCAGTTATAATCAACAAATAAACAAACAGCTTCAAGTTGTGTAACAGAAAATATCGCGTAGCCGCAACGTGGGTCGCCTTTAAACCGCTCTCTTTCTCTTTTCCGTCTCTCTTTCTCTCCCTCGCGTGGCTCTCGCAGTGCCTCTCTTTGACCGCTCTCCCACTTGTTCCTACTATTTCCTCTTATCCCCCGCCAAGCAACAAGCAACAAGCAACAAGTTGCAGTTGCATTTATTTTTGGGCGTGGAACCGCCTGCCTGTGTGTTGCACTTTTCACTCAAAGTTGTTTGTCGCTCCACGTGTGTACATGTATATGTATACGTACAACTAAATAATGTCTGGTTGTCTAAAAATAAAACCCGCAAACTAAAAATAGAAACCAGACGCACACACGACAATCCATTGGCCAGTGGATAAAGCAACTCGACATTACATATTATAACAAACAGACATCACCGCCGGGGGTTTTCCTGGAGCGAGTTGCAGGAGAGCACACTTTACAGTGAAAACAATTCAAAAAAACAATGTTTATTTAACGTGTTTAAGTTTAAGTTTGCCAGCAACAAAGGGAGCTTAATCGTATACATATGTACTACAATATTGTCATACAACTACTATATCCTGAAGAACTTAAATAATTTTAAATGAACTTCACCGAGTGAGCAAATTGCTTTTCATACCAAATGAGAGTGAAATACAAAAAGGAAGCTTAGCAGCTGGTGTTTAATATTTAACATCCAGCCACTCGGCGACAATTTTCAATTCCTTTACGTGATTCTATTTATTTTCGATTTACGAGTATTTGTTATTTATTTTGGCAGCAAATCGGTTCAAGGACACCCCCCCCCCATCGCACCCAGAGACACCCCGTTTTAAATCCTTTTTTCTGCGATCAATCATCAACAAGTTAACCCCCAAAAAGGGCAAAACCAACAAAGTCCCCTCGCAGCACAAAAAATGTCACACAATGAAACATTATCTCACCACACACACACTCAGATGGAGAGCATTGGATGAGGGTTCAAAGGACGCAATAAATGGGCCTTGGTTGGGATGATATGTGGCCACCATTAGTTGATTATTGGGCCCAAATGAGTAATTTGGTTTCATCGCCCTTTGCGCTTCTGCCGGCGAAAAAGTGAGTTAGCAAGGCTACAATTTCTAATTGGAAATAGGGAAAATGAAGGAAGGATGCGTCCTTTAAAGTGCACACTTCGTCGATGGAGCCAAAGTGGCAGTAGATGGGAGCGTCCTGTCAAACGGATATGAAAAATGAATGGTCGTCTTGGTCTGGTCATTGGCGATACGTAGCACCGTGGCCACAAGGACAGGCCATGGAAACCGAGTCCGATGGAGATTTGGCAGTTGGAGTGATGGGGGCTGGAAAAGCGCACAGCTCATGTCAGGCGACGTGATTGCATTGCCTATGGCACCTACATAGAGGCAGCCAGGAGTAAAGTGTAATATAGGGAGATGTCAGTCAGCGGAAAATATATCACAAACTTATGTGACAAAATTGATAAATGTAGCATTGATCAAAATATGTTTGTTGTCCAGCTTAAGCTTTTCTTATGCTATAAAAGGACCCTACACTTCCACTTAATACATTTAAACAGGTAGCATTTCATTACATTTCTCTGAGTGCACGAATTATAGACCTGGCAAGAGGGTTAATACATTTATCAGATCATCAGAGCCCCTCTCCTTGGTCAATGCAATCAAATTACAACACACATTGCGAACAGTTCATCTGTTGCAAATATCTCCTCTACAACTATGTCAATGGAGAGGTCCGTGATTCGAATCGAAATCAGGCATCTATAGCCAAATACAATCAGTGCACAACTGAATGAATAAAATTGAAACGGAACTCCATAACAATAACAATTTCATGGGCACCAAACAAACGAAAACTAAATGAGGCAAAAAGTGTCCTTGTCCATGAGGAGTAAAGGTACGTCATAGTGCTGGAAAAGCTGGATAGTGAATAGAGTTGATAATGATCAAAAATAATACAATAACACTTTGAGGGTTAAATAAAAAATCACTTGTTAGGGAGCAAAAAATTTATTAGGAAGCTCTCCATTTGTTTCGAAAACTCCAGAATCATTCCGATAATTTTCTCGTAATTCTCAGTATTCTTGACAACTAACCATGAGGAAGTGTAACTCGTAAATTTAAACTGAAAACAGGAGTGGCAGTTCCTTGAAGTGTAACCAAGACACATGCCTGCGTCTGAATGTAAAGGAAGTTCCTTCATATTTCATTTAAATTGAATTTGTTCAGTCAATGTCTTTCCTTTAATTCGAATTAGCTCAAGCCAAGGACTTCTTTAATTGGTCAACGTTTTCAAGTGAAATCACTGGTCCTACGTTCGCTCAACCTTAACCTGATTTCCTCAATGGGGCAGTGCCTTAAAACTCACTCGCACTGAGGGATACTTAACGCCCGGATAAGCGGAATGGGGTGCATATGGTGGCACATTGTTATCACATGTGTTACGGATACAAATTTCACTTTCAATGCGACCAAAAGCGTTGCTGATGATAATGATGATGACGACGGGCGATGTGGCTGTGTGGCTCTGTGCATGCCATGGCCTTAACAGCGGCTGCCACTTCAGCATCAGTTGCAACTTTAACTCCAGCCCCGGCTTCATTCCCCCCTTTCCACAACTCCCTCCACTATGAGGCGCCGTTTTTCTGGCCGTAAAAGGAGACAACGCATGACGGCAGCTTTGGCATTTAACAAGCGAGGCTCAGCCCAAAACCCCATAGACCATCAAAGAGACTGAAACATGTACGTGCACTCAAAGAAATTTACTCCCTGAAGTATAATGCCCCTTGGCTCAAATAAAGTATTTTCCTTGGGTGTTTGGCAATCAATATAAGTAACCTCAAGTAGCTCAAATAACTGATGCCACAGAATTTCAATTTTCCAAGTGCAGAGAAAGGACCCAGTAACTCGGCCTGTCCATTTCTGGGGAGCGGGTCCAGCTGCCTCGGCTACAATTTTGGGTCGTGTGAAAGTGAAGGGCTAGCAGCACTGACTTTTGAGGTCGTTGCCAAAATATTCAGCTTGAACTCTGCGGAGCAAGAAAAAGTCAAAAACAGAAAAGGCCGCGAAGCATTTATGAGCGACGGAGTTATGAGTGGAGAAGCCTGCAATCTCTGGTGCAGCTCGTCTCTGGTGCCGCCGTCTCGCTTCCATGCAAAGCAGACTTGGGAGCTGCCGCTGCTGCTGGTGCTGCCAAAAAACTGGATTTTCTAAAAATAGACCGTGGGGAAATACCTGAATACGCGCCACATGTGCAACGGCCGCCAAAAGGCTCGAGGTACAACAGCAACAACCGCTCCAACAAAATGCAAAAAAGAAAAATGAAAAAACTGCAAAGACAAATCAGGCGAATAGCAAGAATGAGACCCAAAGCTCTGCTCATCTCTTGTTAGGACTCAAAACTTTGTCCGTGTCTTCCTCCTCGTCCTCGTCCTTTCGTCCGCCCACAGAAAACAGGGTTCAATGGCAAACAGGAAGCACAATTTCCGTTGCGCCCCAAAAATAGCGTCAAAGGCGGAATCCATTTGCTTGGCAAATAGAATGCCACGATGCACTTGCCTTAAATTCCACGTCAACTTCAACTCAAAGAGCAGAACATTCAAATTCCCCTAAATTAACATGACTAAGCAACCAAAAGCGATGCTGATTGTGAATGGAATTTCAAATACAAAATGAAAAAAAATACTCTTTGCCTACTTTAGGGGGGTCATCTATGTGCTTAGCCATTTCCCCAGTTTCCAAATACTATTTAAATAACCCAAAAGGAAGAAAATAAGATCGTTATACCAACTATATATTTTCCCTTTCTTATTTTAATTTACAGACATCTTTATTGCCTTTTTTCCAGTGCCTGGTGCAAACT